TAAGGTCATCAAAGCAGACTAAGCCAATTAATTTTCTTTACCTAATCTAATAAGATGAACTCAGTAGAATCACGATGTTTAACAGCAACGTTTCCAAATTTTGGGCGTGGTGCCGAAGCGTTACGTGCGGTGGTGTGTAATCCACGGTCATTCGTTGCCTCGTCGACTCCCCTCATGGACGTTGCCGTACTCAGGTAAAACTTTAGGTTCAAGTCGTTTCTGGTAGATCTGCTATCTTAGCCCCTTTATGTTTATATGAAATTAGGCATTTACTTAACAATTCTATACTAAAAAGTCTTTCTTTTGGAAGAAAAACAGTATGTCTTGTCTTATTCGCAAAATGCAAACTTCTCCAAGCCATAAAGCCGTACTTGGCGTCCTAACATAACTTTTTGAATCCGCGCACATCTGGTCAGTTGGCTCGCCGTGCGAACTTCACCTCCCGAAAAAACACCAACTGTCCGCTTTGGAAATAATCTTCGAAGCCAGTTACGAATCTGTTTAAGCACAACTGCTATCAACTTATCATTAAGGTATCTGGAGCCGTCCAAATCTGGCCAAGAAGAGGATCATCTATTTGAGAATCGTGTATGGATTCCGGATCCAGATATTGGCTATAGATTAGCGTCCATACTCGATGATGGTCTAACCGATGTTCTAGTCGGATTTCGAGATGAACAAGGCTTTTTTGAAAAGGCTCGTGATTCCAGAACTTGTTTAGCAGCGGTTTTATGCTTATACGAGATTAAGGTATCTTGAACGGTTCAAATCTTTCGAAAAATTTCATGTTTCCAGCATCTGTCACATTATATATTGTCGGGCAATAGTGTTGCGCAAATTCCATCAAATGTCTGAAAAAGTGAGTAAAGCAAAAATGACATCTGGCTACCATGTCGCCAACATGCTAGTGCGCCCAATGAACCATGCTACAACGTGGTATTCGAGCTAATACAATTCCTTAATGTCAAGCGCTTAATATTTTGGTTTTTAATAAATCCAACTTTCAGC